GTATACATATATTTTATATATTTTATACACATACACACATGTTCCTCCCCGCACCACCACCACCGCTATGATCACCACCACCATCAACAACAACAGAACAACAGCAACACCAATGGCAGCAACACCTGGGATCCCCGCTACCATGGAAAATCAGTACACAAGCGCAGCTCCTAGTCCGGCCCTGTCCTAGTCCTAGTCCTAGTCCTAGTCCCAACCAAGTAAGCAACCCCTGCCCTCCCCCCAAACTCTTTCCTTGGCAGCAGCTTCACTCGTTCGTGGTTCGTCTTTCCCCCTCCGCCCCCTCCCCCCCAAACCCCCCCACCCCAACCAGGTTATGACCATGGTCAAGTCCCTAGCCGCGGGCGGAGTGACCATATGCGCCACAATCCACTCGCCCACCAGCTACTGCTTCGCGCTCTTTGACTCGGTCATGATGCTGGTCAAGGGGAGGGTCGTGTACTTCGGACCCCGAGGTGGGCTGGGAGAGGGGGAGATAGGGCAGTGGCCGGAGTGTGTATGTATGTACGTATGTATGTACGTATGTATGTATGTATGTATGTATGTATGTATGTATGTATGTATGTATGTATGTATGTATGTTACAGGGTGGTATAGCTTCACCAGCGGCCCCCTTTCCCTTGGAGGCAGTTCCCTGCTCTCCCCTGCGAGAGTGGTTTCCCACCCTAATCCATTCACCCCATCCGACTTCAGAATGTATTCGTTGGGTTCAGCAACTCACCACCAGCATCCAACCAAATCTAGCGGATTAACGGCGCCTCAACTTGTATGTGTGTATGTAGGGCGATGTGCAAATTGTCCCCTTTTGTCCCCGCACATGTGCCCGTACAGGACGTTTTCTCTTTCCCCCCCCCAGCGTATGTATGTCCGTGCATGTGTACTTCTCTGTCCTTTGTTGTGTATTTCCCTTTTCTTTCACCCTCCTAAACCCTGTTCCCCCCCTATCCCTCCCCTCCCTGGCCCCCCCCCCTTCACACACCCCCCGAAGGCCACTCCGCTATCGAGTTCGCGCAGTCGGGCTGTCCGCACCCCAAGGAGTTCCTTCCCGGATACAACGACGCGGAGTACTTGGTGGACCTGGTCACGGAGGCGGACCTGGCCGGGGAGAGCGACAAGATGGCGGACTTCTATGCAAAGTACGGAAGGGGGGAAGGGGAGGGGAGGGGATGCGAGAGTTTGGGGGAGGAGGAGTTCAGTTCGGGGAAAGCTAATCTGCATGTAGGAAGGAGGAGGAGGGGGGGAAGGGCAACAGCTTGCGTGGTGGGGTGATGGTGCCGGGCTACGTGCCTGCATGCATGCATGCATGCATGCGCACACACGGGGGGGTGGATGATGACGAGCTCTCTATTTGGGACAACGGGGGTTGCAGCTGTTTGGCTTTAGTAGGGGTTGTAGCTCATACCCTGTATACCCCTGGAGGGTGCCGGTGTTCTTTTTCCGAGGTGTGCTCCCTTCAGTCGGTTTCTTGAAATCTTTTGGTTTGTGGCTCAAAGATGTGATATTATATGTATCAAGGGGGTGTGTGGGGGGGGGGAGGATAATTAAAGCAGCTAGATGTACACCATTGCGAACCACCGCCATCGCATCCTCCGCTTTTCTTTTTTTCCTTCTTGTCGGCCCTTCACGAATTTCTGTCCCACAGGGTTTATTTGTCCTCCCGCAACTTTTACGTGCCATATATGTTGTATACTCGCGCATCCTCCTCTCTCGCTATTTCTGCGTAAGGAATAATGTAAAGAATAAAGAATAAAGAATAATATTCCTCTTTCCTCGCAACGATCGGGTCCTCGAATGTCGTTTTCCTGACTAACCTTCAGCTCGGAGCTCTTCCGGGACAACGCCGCCCGCATCGATCAGTACCTGTCCGAGTCGGCCGACGTGCTCCCGGAGAATATCCAAAAGGTCCGTACGACAGAGGCATGACAAGCTAGGTCGAGAAATCGGGCTCGTGTCCCTGCTGCTGGTAAAAAGTAAAAAAATCCAAGAACTAACTCCCTTCACAAGTACCCTCCACGGGCTCCGCGCATTGGAGGTTTATTCTTGGGGTCCTGCTTCTGGGTTATCCCTTCGCGTGTATGAAACCCATGTTTTCCCCTCGCGTGTATGAAACCCATGTTTTTCCCCCTTTCTCCCCCGCTCCCCTTGTCCCCTCCCCCTCCCCCCCAAAGGAGTTGGCAGTTCGCTCGGCCACCGTGACCCCGTGGTGGTGGGGTCTGAAGACATTAGTCAAGGTGAGGCAATATGGGAGGACATGTGTGTATGTATATACTCATGTATGTATGTATATATGTATGTATATATGTATGTATATATGTATGTATATGTATGTATGTATGTATGTGTGCACGTACGTATGTACGTTTGTATGTATGTATGTATGTATGTATGTATGTATGTATGTATGTATGTATGTATGTATGTATGTATGTCCACATGGGATTGAATATATTACACCAGGAATAACCACCCCACCCCACGTCGCTGGGGCCCCACCGCCACCGCCTAGTCCCGACAACACAACGCAACACGGCCTGGGACACGACCTGATAAGACCTTTCGCCGTACCGTCCTATTGCAGTACCGCACTTCGAAGAACTATCGGGATGGCGAGTTCCTAGGCCCTCGAATCGGCGACAAGATCCTGATCAGGTGCGTAACGCATGCAGACGTGCGTGGCGCAGCGCCGAACACACAACAGCTTTACCTTGCTACTTCCATTTTTTGGCCGTAAAAAATTCTTCATGTTTCTTTTTGGGGCACCCAAAAACCGGTTGCCTAATGGAAACTCGTGTTTTTTTGCTGTTCGCCGCACATGTTTTTTTATCCCTGCCTCTCTTGCCTCTCGAATTAAACTTTTACAAAAATGTTTTATTTATTTCAAAAATACGCAGTCTGTTGATTATGACGTTGTACCTGGGCATTGGCGACGAGTTCATCGAGTCGAACTACGTCAACATTGCCGCGGTGTTGTTTATGTGGTGTGTGCTGCCCGCCTTCGGAGCCGCTGCGTACGTCCCCGCGCTGGTGCTAGGTGCGATCTGAGGGGGGGGGAGCGGTGGTGGTGCAGCGTTGCATTGCAAGCGCTGCACTGCGCTCTCACTGCATTTGATGTACCCCCGACTGTTCGTTTTTTTCGCCATCTCTTTGCACCTTGTTAATATTTCCCTACCTCCTCTCCTATCACCTTCATCGCCGCCACCATCGCCGCTACCATCGCCGCCATCATCATCACCGCCACCATCATCGCCGTCAGAGCGCAACCTGTTCACTCGCGAGCGCAACGACGGATTGTACTTGGTGGTGACGTACCTGCTGTCAAAGATGGTAGACGAGCTGCTGCTGGCGGGACTGGCCTCGCTGGGTATCTCAGCCTACGTGTTTTACGGTGGGTGTGTGGGGGTGGGGGTGTGTGGGGTGTGGGTGTGGGTGTGGGTGGGGGGTGGGGGGGTGGGGGGGTGGTTGGACTGGCGGTTCAACCCCAAGTTGGGGATTGCGGGGTTTAGATATAGTCCCAAGCCCCACCCCCAACTCTGCCGGCTGGTCGAGGTCCTCTCTCTCTCTCCCCCCCTCTCTCTCTCGCTCTTCCGCCCGTTGTGATGGTTACCTGTTGTAGCTTCTACCTTCTAACCTACTTCTTTCCTTCGCAATAACCCTAAAAATCATAATGCTAACTAACCCTAAGTTTTACAAGAATATGTGTGCTCCGTCCCCTCCCCCCCTCGCCGCCCTCCCGGGAGCTCGAGGTTTTTTTCCTGTGCTATAATATCTGTGCAGTATCTTTATAAAATCCTGGATAATCCCAAACCAAAGCATCTTGCACTTACGCGCCGCACTGCTCGCTGCCCTACGGCGGTACATACATCCGTACATCCGTACATCCGTACATGCAGGCATTCAGCTACAAGGCCAGTGGGTGACTTTCTGGCTCATCTATTACATCACCCTCTCCAACGGCATTGTGCTGGCATACTTTGTGGCGGCCATCTCCCCCAATCTGGATGTGGCCAATGCGCTATTGCCCACCTACGTGGTCACGCTGCTCTTCTTCGGCGGCTTCCTGTTCCGCTTCCACGAGATGCCGCGATGGTGGAAGTGGTACTCATACATTGGTGAGTGGCGGTCCGGGTGCCGAGGGGGGGTTGGATTCTGGTTGGATCCTGGTTTGATTCTGGTTGGATCCTGCCCAGGCTGCGAGGCTTGTTGCGAATCGCGGGTTCCTTTTTCCGCTTTCGTGGGGGGTGGAGGGGAGGGGAGGGTGGAGGGGAGGGCTGCTCTTATGTGTTCTGGCCATGGTGTACCTTTTGGCTGCGCGGTATGTTATTTGGAAGGTATGCGCCGCCGGGTTGTGCTGGGTTGTATGGCAGTAGGGTTGGCCTGGGAAGGCCGTACCGAAAGGGCGAATCCCACCAGAGCTTCCAGGCGGTGTGCTGTCTCCCTCCTGTCTGTCTGTCTGTCTGTCTGTTTTAGATGCCCGGGGACCCGGGGGGGTGGTGGGGCGTATCCGCCCGCGGGGGGTTCCTGTTGCATTCTTTTCCGGGCTTTGCTTTCAATTAACCAATGCGGTGCCGCCCACCCCAACCCCCCAAACCCCTGACCCCCCAACCCCCTGACCCCCCGGATATTTGGGATGTTTCCAGACTTCCTGCGCTATAGCTGGGGCTCCTTGATGGTGAACCAGTTCGAGGACAACAACCCGTCGTGGCTCGGTGAGTTAGAGTGGAAGGGGGGCGGGCAGGGAGGTTATCTAGGCATTTAAGTTCTGAAATCATGTTCCTTAGAAGGAAAAAAGGAAAGGTCCTCCCCCCGTCTTTTAAACCAACATAACACCGCCACTTCCCTCCTTTCCTTTGCTTTCGTTGTTCTTGCCGTACACTCTCGACCGTACGACAGGCGGAACCGTACTGTCGTACTACAGCCTTGCACACGTGGACAAATGGCGGTACATGGGCTTCCTGGCGCTGTTCTTCATCGTCTTTTTCCTCCTCGCGTTGATTACCATGCAGTTCAAGAAGTACCAGTCACGATGATGCGAGCTAAATATTTTTGTTTGAGATATTTTTAAATTCAGCTGTCGGGATCCATCTTTCCTCGTACGGTCCGACTCTGATCCAGAACCATGCAACCTAGCCAACACTCGGGCCTATGGTTCTGCTTGTCTGCTTGGCGCATCTAGGAGCGAAAATCAGAGCACGGGCGGCGGGTGGTAAGGGCGGCGGCGGGTGGTAAGGAAGGAGAAAGGGGTTTGTGATGTGAGAATGAAGTTCGCCCCCGAGCTTTACACGCGGCCTCGAGTCCCTTGTTCGAAACCGGCACTTAGGGGGCACTTTTTCACTGAACGGCAATCTGAAGGAGTTTTCTTTTGTTGAAGTGTTTAGGTGATATCCCCAATGCTCTCGCATGAGCGGGGTACGGTGGGGGGCACCCGACCGAGCAGGTGATGCGTTGGAGGGTGGGAAGGTGGGATTCGCTTTGCAAGGCTGGGGCTCGCAAGGGTTGTGCCATCACCGATTCGTGTCGCGCGTTGGAAAGGGCTGTAGGGTGTGGGTGATGTTGGGCTGTGGATGTGCAAACACGGCGGGAATGCGAGGTGCTGCTGGGGTTGGTGGTGTATGTGTAAAGGGGCCAGGAGGAACGAGGACCAGCAGGCAGCGCAGCCGTTTTTTTTGTTGCGGTCGAGCGTTTTAATCCGAAAGCTCCTTCTCCAGCTCCGGGCCCCTTACTGCACGTTCTTCATCTGTATGTTTGTAGCACCGGTTTGTATCGCCGGTAGCGCGACTTCTTTCTCTTCTTTCTGTTTTTTACAGGTGTTATAAACTTGCGTCACGCTTTTTCGGGGGGGAGAAGTATTGGAAGGAAAAAAGTCGCGCGCAAGCTGGGAACCCCCTGTTCAGGAAGCGGTCTCTCTGCCTCGCGTGACGCAGGAGGTTTCGCCCTCGCGTGACGGAGTCGGAGGAGTTTTGTGCGTGTTTGTTTGTGTATAAGTAAGTACGTACTCCGTACTAGCTTGGACGCTTGCATGTTTGGGTTTGGGGCTTTGGGTATGCGCACCAGCAGGGCATGTGGCCGCATATGCGTGGGCAGCAGCTTTGTGGCTGGGAGGGCGGCAGCACTGCCGTTCGGGTTCGCACCCACCAATTGCCCAGCGCGCGCGCCCTGTCAGCGTTGCTACAGGCAGGTGCACGCCTCCCTTTGCGATTGTGTCGGGGAACGGCGGAGGACGGAGGAAACGAGAGGCCTTTCCGGAATCTCAAGAGCAGGGGGAGATGGGGAGAAGAGAAGAGAGAGTCTCGCAAAGTCAAGGCGAGGAAGAGAGGGGGTCGGATGGAAATAGGAATAATAGCGGTGAAGAGGCGGAGATGGAAATTTAGAGAGATCGATCGACGGTTTCTTGGCTCTTTTGAGTTGCGGTCGCTGTGGCACTCACCGCCTTGTTTGGCTGTTTGGATTTACATCAAGTAAGCGGCCAAGCTCGCCCCGAGGTCTTTCTGCCGGCTGGTGGCCACCATCGCGTATGGCGTCATTCTCTCTAGAGAGAGAGACAGAAAGAGAGACAGACAGAAAGAAAGAGAGGTAAGAGATGTGAAAACACATATAGGACGCGTGATGATGTTTTTGTTATATCGCTCCTCACTCGTTGTTGTGCCTGTCGTCACCTGTGTGCCGGGCTGGCGATTGTGGAGGGGGTCGCGCGTTGCTCGTCCCATTCCACGCCGCCGACAGTAGTACGGAAAGGTAAGAGCGGTTGCAGGAATTCGATTTTCCGTAGAAGGAAATGGGGAGCGGTTGAGGAGAGAAAATAGCGTTTGTGGATGGGGCGTTTGTTTGAGAGAAGCCCGGGCCCTTATTGAGCATTGCGGGGATTGCGACGATAAGTGACAGTGATTAACTCCTTGGACAGAATAACTGATGCTGCTGTTGCTGCTACTGCTACTGCTACTGCTACTGCTGCTGCTGCTGCCGCTTTTCGGTGGATCATGAACAAAACACAGCGCGTACTTCTCCCCTCCTAGACTTCCTTGCGGGTGTTTGCTGCACTTGTCTTTTGGGTGAAACAGTATAATTGCAGCGTGGAATATGCGTGGGAGGGTTTCGTGGGTTAACAGGTAGATAGAGGGGGGGTTGGGGGGTGGGGGGGAGCTCGGAGAATGGGCTGTGGCGGCTGTGAAGCTGGACGTGGCTTACGTAATGAGTCGGAGGGGAGGGGGTACCGCAAGGGGGGTCGTACAGTCTCCAAAACACATGTGTAGAACCGAACGGAATGGCAAATGAATTGCGGGTCTTGCGAGGGTTGTTCCTAATTCTGTGGAAAATCAGGAGCACCTTGTGAATAAATGGGTTTGGTAGGCTTTGATTTGGCTGGCTGGAGGGATTTCTACTGAGAGATATATTGCTTAATAGTGACTTTCTGTGTACGGCGGTACGGCTATTGAAGTCGTCATTGGTATTGAGTGCTGTACGCCGCTTGGATGATTGCGGGACTTGTTTATTTTGTTGGGTCAGGATTTTTTTTCACTCCGATAGCACGAACCACTAAACGGTAATGACCCTGGCCTAGTCACTAGTTGACTCGTCCAATGTTATGGCAGTGCTGTGGTCGATCCTGGGTTCCTTGCTGTTTGGTGGTGTGGTACATAGGACGGTTCGGAGCTTGCTGAGCTCGGACTGCAACTCGACTGTAACAGCTCTGCCCACTTCCACACGCAGCTGAAGAGGAGGGCGAAAAGCTTTCAAGGAATCCGAATCCCGCCCACAGATTTTTAAAAAAAGGGGAAGACTTTGAAAATTCCCCCAGAAAGATCACAAACGCCTAAATAAGCTCTAAGAGGCGCCCGGAAGGTAGGATAGCAGAAGGGGGAACTTGTCCTGGCTATGCACCATTTGCATTTCGGGAGTGAGGTAACATATCCACTAAGCAATGTGGAATCCGCGCACCCTGCCGAGGGTCCCCACAGCGGTGCGTTGTAAGCTTCGTAACGAACGATTGGTAGTTACATGCGCGTTACGATTGACTGGGCGCTTGCAATTTGGGCCAGATATAGGTTGATAGACAGGCAGGAAAACGAAGCTAAACAAGGGTCAGATTAGGAAGTCAGTTGAGTTGTTGGGTTATGACATTGGAGCTCACTGGAGTTGCAACAAGTGCTTCCCTTAAGATAACTGAGAGGCTCAACTTTGGGCACTTGAAGCACGCGACAGATAGCCATATTTAAGCTAACAGAGCCCGCCTGCCGCCCTCCACAGTTTGCCCGTCCTCAGGGTAAACTCGCGCGAGCTCAATTCTCCAAAGTATGCAAGTTTAGCTATCAATCAAACCAAATCAAATCGTGGTAGTTTTGATGCTTTACGCAGTTTGCTTCGATGCATGGTGAACTTACCACCGAAGTGACCTCCGGTGGTAAGTTCGCGAGATCTTGTTATCCTTTTTGACAGTTCAGGATAAGAGCCCTTCAAAACGAATTGCGTTTGGCGTTTTAACTAGCTGTGCAAATGCAACGCATGCAAAGGAACGACTATTGGCCATTTCAGCCCATGTTCCGTCCATGCTCAAATCAAAATGTGTATTTTTATACTATATATCAGATGTTTAGTTTATTAGAACGTTAAGTTATGTTATGTTGTGTTGTGTAACAAGCCCGCGAGAGCTCGTAAGGCCCAGACGCGGGCTCACAGACCGCAAGTTCTAGCGTAGTCGAAAAGAAGGAAGAAACAAAATATGAAAAATAAAAAATGGGTTATGATCCCCATCTGCGAGAGAAAGCAGTAAATAGGATAAGCGACCTCAGGCTTACTACTCGGCTATCAGCATGCGTCGGCTCATCCAAATGTTGTGTGTGATCTGTGCAAGTCCGCGCTGACCATATAATTCCCTAACAGAACTCATAATAGGCACGGGCTCGGTATCAGCCTGGCGTTACACCTAGGGGTTGAGGAGCCCTTCCCGAAGGTCGTTGTACGCGGGACACCCGAGAAACTCATCTTCTACTGCATAATTATTTAATGTTGCGAGAGACCCTACACCAGCGCCCTTGGCGCGACCGACTGCCGGGTCGGCGAACCTCCAAAGGCCACGCCCCTAAGCGAAACCGCAGCAGTGTCAAGTATGACTTTGCAGGGATGTAGCACGTCGTGTGTTTCGGCATTCCCATCCAATGGGTATGCCGGCACATCTTAACCCCTGATTTGCTGTCGTCCGACACAAGTTCCCGGGGGTTGTGATAATAAGATGTGGGTTCTGCCAGTCACCATCAAAACCCTTCTTCAACGTTTCCATGACAGATCTGACGACATGGATCGGGTTCGAGGAAATGAAATCGACCTTCCCCTCTTCACTCTCTGGTCTGGGTGCAGCACCGGGAAGTGCCCTGAGCACCTGAGGGCCCTCAGGATCATGGCAACCCAGTTGGTGGCAGTATAATCTGCCACCACGTACTGCAAAACGTACCTCCTCGCGCAAAACATCGTGAAACACAATATCCGCTTCGCAAGGAAAACCCTGTTGCAAAACGGTAAATAAGTGAGGCTCAGTGAAGGTGGAGGGACCATTGACTAGGTTCCCTAAACAACACACGGCTATCCGGATTATCCCCCCTGACTCAAAAGAGATGCTTCAGAAACGTGCGTTGCAGCTCTCGACCATGCGATTCTCCCTAGAGACCTTTCCAAGTAGCAGGACCGTCCACGACCATCACCATCATCACCGTCTTCACCACCATCACTGCGTCCAGCCGTTCCGTAATCACTGGTCCAACAGGTCGTCGGCGGCCCTGCCTACCTTCGCTGAGCCTCGATAAGATCCACGATCTGAATGACCCACGGGCCTGTGGTCCCTTCCGCCGCCGCCGCCGCCGCCAATGACCCATGGAGCAGCGGCTCCGGCACCGGCGTTTGTCCTTCCACCTTGCGCAGCCCCCCCGGCAGCCGTGTCCACTGATGCAGGCGATAGTAGTAGCTATTGTTATTCCTGGCGGGGGCTTGGACTGGGCTCATGTTTCCCCTTACCGGACAATGAACGGGACACCGTCGTTGTCGTACGGGTGTTGCTGCTGCAGCTCGAGGTAGAGCTGCAGCAGTAACAGGAGGAGCAGGAGCAGGAGGAGAAGCAGGTCAACCTCACCTTCCTCATCGTCATCGTCGTCACCGTAAACGCCACCTTCGACCGCGACTCAAAGGCAGCAACGCCCGGACGTCCTGGACGTTGTTTGCCAGTCCGTTGTCGTACTGCATAGAAACAAGTAAGTGCTGTTTTATAATAGGAGTGCTAATCCACGTCGGGAAGAAGGCACAGGAATTCGGGAGATGAGAGGAGATTATATGGTCGTTACGCGGGCCCACCATCGTTCGCAGGATTCCAGGTTCTGTTAAGGGTTTGAGTTTGGTGGCTACCTGACCTCCGAAGAGCTTATCTTTGCGCTTGGGGCAATGTCGCAGCCTATCAGATCTAATCGAGGCGCGACTATTGCTGGTTGAAAACTTATTCCTTCCCCGTCGGACGTGTTCTTCGGGACCTTCCGCAATATTTGGCGGTCTTCGGACCCGCACCAAAACAATTAAGTATAACGTGTGATTTTCTTAACCGTCACGTCATTAGCGGCCTGTAATATGATGTTTGTTATCGTTCCTAACGAAGAAAGGCTACTTTCAGCCTGGTGGCAGGTGGGGCAGGGAAAGCTTTGAGTTGTTGGTTTGGGGTTTGGGTTTTGGGCACGTTCTCTGTGGCTCTTTTCCTTCTATAATTATGTTTTTTGTTTTGTGTTACTGCCGGTATCTTCTTTGTTTGCAGTTTTAACCAAATCATGTCGTTTTTCTCCCCTCCCTTCCCCTCGCCTCCGACTGGCCCTCCGCTGTGTCCCATCCCCCCGGTCATCCCAACATCGCACCTCTCCCTCCTCACTGTGCAGCACCCAGAGACCAGCTGCCTATGGCCCTTCGAGCGCCAAAAGCGCGCGCAGGACTCGAGGAGTCACGAGAAACCGCTGCCGAGCTGCTGCGTCTACAGCAATGGTACGGCACTGTGCCAGAGCAGGCGCTGCTGGAGGAAAAGCTGTGTATAAAGATGAAACTCAAAATCAGATCAGAACCGTAGCAGGATCCTTACCCGAAATCAGATACCGACACCCCCTGACATCCCCCGCACTCCTGTTCTCAACTAATTTGCTTAAGGGTTCTGTTGGGGGGTTCTGGGGCCCAGGAGGCCCAGGACCAAGCGCGTCGGGTGGTCGTACAACGACCTGGAGAATAAACTGCGGTTCCCACACCTGGACTTCGTACGACAGAATGGGTCTACTTTGCACATCAAAACACCTTAGCGCTATCACCTACGCAAAATTTGGCTATCAGTGCATGTGGGTGGGTGGCATGGCTCGCTGCCCCGCACTAAATCGCTCTCCAATTAAGCAAAGGAAAAGGCCGTACGATTACAGCCGGCATAACTGAAGCACGTGACTTTTACCCACGTAAAATGGGTACAATGTCCACATTTAGTGGAGTGCTTGAAGCGCCAGGTATCTTACCCTACCTAGAGGACGCTAACTGGCTATTGGAAGCCGGCCCATAGCGCGAAAATGTGTGCCTAGCGTAGCAGCTGCAGCTGCATAGTTGGATAAGGAGCTAAAAGGAGTTAATAAAATTCTATCTTCAAGCTCAAATCCGCTTATTCAGCCGCGTTTTGGTTATTTGTTAAAATACAAATGCGCGCTTCGTGTAGTTTACCAACCATTAGCGAACCGAACGGTTGCTGTTTTACGATAGTGACAGATAAAGCCCACGTTATATGAGAATGTTGATTTTAGATTATATCTCAGGTACTGAATGGATCGTGACGTGCCCCCCCCCTGACGGAACCCTTGGGGGGAGAACACATGCAGCTGGCCAACAGTCAGTGTACGACATATACGACATGTACGATATGATAAAAGTGCGTCCCTCAACGGGCCGGTTGTTGGTGTCTTATCCTACATCAGCTGGTGCGCTATTTCCTGCATGTGTTGTGGTGTGGTGTTGTTACATGTTCTCACTTGCCAAGTGGCTAGTTTCCAACACTCAGCACCAACACTCAGCACCCCTAGCGGGGAGTAATACCCGGACGCCAAGGAAACGGCCTTTCCTCATTTCAACTTTTCAATTTGCTGCTTGACTGCCTTAACTTCGATAGTGAGCCGCATCACAGGCGTTCATGTATGACGTGTTTGTATGTATGTCTTGCCGTGTATGGCCTGTGTAAGGGTGACGTAGGGGATGGACGCGAACAGGCTGCTGCATTGACTCGGGCATGCTATGGTGAGATTTGGAGACGATGGTGGTGACTTGTGCGAGTTGAGTGTCAACTCCATCAGCACTGTAGTACAGCGATCTGTTGCTGCACCAGGTGGGCGGGCTTGTTTCGCATGTAATCGTACACGTGTCAATGGCAGGAATATGCATGGAAAATGTTTTTTATGCATCGAAGTCACATGGGAACCGTACGAATCACACCTGCTGTCCGCAACAGCCGCTGTAACGGCCAGAAACGGCCCTAACGGTTAACGGTTAACTGTAGTGCATTTCACTGCAAGGGGAGAACGTGGCATTACAACCTTTTGTACACAGGCCTATAACCTTCTCACGGCGCGTGAGCATGCAGTTGTCTCGGCGAGCTTAGCTTTCCCAAGCCCGCCCACTTCGTAATGCTCTCTAATTTGGCGTACGCATATTTTGTAACGCAATACGTAGAACAGGATGAAGACACTTTGGCTCTTCGCTCCGGCCTGGGAAAGCCAACAGTAATCCTATCCTTGCGTCAAAGTCGCTGCCTCGTGAAAATGTGTAGTCGGTGCTTCTTGTCACTCAAGCCTCCTCTTTGTGCCGGAGCCCGCTCAATCTAACTTTTTGAAGAGTGCGAAAAGGATTCAACGCTTATTACGGAGTGTGCGCTACCTCAGCGCGAGGATCCGCGGGATCGACCGCGTGCAAGTCCCGAGTTGACGGGACTGCTGTATGGGTCCTGTGTTAAGGCGACTGCACCCTGCATTGCTGGCAATGGGGCGTCTAGGCGACCCTCACGCACCGCCTCATGGTCACTTCAGCCTGCTTCAGCTGTCGGCGCTTAATTTGTAACAAGCCTAAATACGCTACCTAGAAAACTTCGTAGCTTTTTCTTATAACAGCTTAGTTTTAAATAATGTAAAGCAAAGTATGTGTGCGGTTTGCAATACCGTTTAGTCGACGACGGCGTTAGCTCTGGTCTCCACAAGCATAAGAACTGGGCCGTTATTAGCTCGCCCATCACATCGCCTATTACGATACAGCTGTAAGTATATGTGCAACCATATAACCACGTCAAACTGATTGGTTGTTACAGCAAAACCGAAACTTATGCCGTAACCAGAAATTGTCAAGCCCGCATCATGGTTACGAGTGTAGCCAAAGTAAGGAAATCATCACTTATATAATTTATGATTTAGAAATTTTCTATATAGGCCGTTCTATCATTCAGGCCCATCGGTGAAGGTGGGCTTCATGTCAACTTCAACAGGTTGTACGTTACGCTAGGTAACACGCCCTTTTCATACATTGACTTAGGTTATAGCCGAATGATGCCTGAATATAACTTTTTCCGCACACTTGTGGGCCAAAGAGGCTACCCATTGTAACTCTGTACCAGAAGCCCTGGCGCCTGTCGTTCTTCTTCTTGACTGTATAGCTATACTTTTGAAAGTGACTTGCAAACAAGACAGTTTCGAGCTAGATCAATCAAGGACCCAGAGGAGTGATGGCATAGACTCCTTACCTGCTCCCACATATTGTCACCCATAAGTATATCTGTTCAACGTTTTTCAACCATTTATGAGACAAGAATTTGGCAATTGGAGCTTTCTGTTGACCAGGGACGTCTAATGACATACAGTCGCAGAGATGAGACACGGCAAGGCCCTTCACGGTGCAAACATGCTATGCCGTATGCTCATTGTAACAGCTTTCCTACTGATTCTGCCTGCGTTTTCAAGCACGTCACCTGCCGAATACGACCTCATGGGCATGCCGGCCCTGAGGAACGAGGATTACAGCGGGAAGGGCGATAATACCTTAACATCAGCAGAAAGTGAAGAAATTGAAGCGCTTGAGCAACCTCAAGGCTATTCCGGAGAGCAGAGACTTGGTACGCATGCGAAGCTCCCGTCGGAAGCATACTTGTCAACGGGCGTCGCACGACCATGGCTTGACAGAGCTCATCTATCTGGCGCTTATGTAGATTATGGACACACACATGATCCCACCGTACGACCACCTAGCACTATCCATCATACTTCTGCTCCTGACCTCAGCGAGCATCCCCGCACAGACCATCAGGACCTTATCACGCTGGCCCATTCTCTGGACGGTGGAGAGGGAGAAGGGAGTTCCGGAGCCAGCGAACCTACTGCGGCCGCATCTGAGGGTGCTTGCAGCGGTGCTAGATGCGATACGGAGTATGGCATGAATACGGACGTTGACCCGTACGGCCGTACCGGGCACCCGCTGTGGCAGTGGGCAAGGAGCAGCACGGGAAGCCACAGCATCACTGCTAGCGACAGCAATAGTAACAGCGATAGCAGCGGCAAGGATAGCAGCAGCACTGGCACCAGCGGCAGTAGCGATAAGAGCAGTGTGAAGAGCAGTAGCAGTAGCAGCAGTAGCAGTGGTGGCGACGGCGGCAGCGAGAACCACCAGTTTCATGCCGTCGGTGGCGACGGCGGTTTGGTGCTTTCGGACCTGGAGGCTACAGCAGCAGCTACTGCTACTGCTACTGCTGCTGCTAGGGCTACTGCGACAGACGCCGATGTTGTTGGCAGTCGCTTCAATCTCGTGGATATCCCCCGTCGCGAACTCGTCACTGTAGGAGAACACTCGTACTGCTTGACTTCAGCAAGTGGGCAGTGCTTCCCATGTCAGGTCGAGAATCCGGATGATGAGAACCCTTGTGCGGTGAGACGGTGGTGGTTATGGTGGTTGCGGTGGTGGTGATGTTGAGGTGGGAGGCGAGCTATACGGCAGAATACAAGCTGTAAAACGGGAAGAGGGTTGGGGGAAGAGGGCTAGAGAAGCATTTGCCAGGCTGTCTGTCTGTCAAATTGTCTGTCTGTCTACTTGTCGACCCTACCCGCCGTGCCCTGCAGAGTGATGACAACTTTTTCAGGGACTACGACAAATGTTCCGTACCGTGAGTGGCTGGAGAGGGGCCTGGGAGGGGGTGATGAAGGGGGGGGGGAGGATGAGGGGAGGGAGAGGATGTGCCGCTTCGCGCTGGCTGCATAACCCCAACCACCTAGTAACTTGATGAACCTGATTGATCTGCCGTACCTGACGCGTCTTCCTCTAATGTCGTACTTTCTTTCATATGACATGCAGGTACTATTACTTCGGCAATGTGACGGATGAATCGATTTGCGGAGATGCGGTGAGCTCTCCTGCTCCCCACCCCTTTCCCGCCCGCCCCCTAAGTGGCGCCATAGGGTGGTTGCCGTGACGGTGTTCTACTCGGTGGCGGGAGGGGGTGCAAAGAAAGAAGGGCTGTCAGGAAGGGCTACACATTGCCACATACAACCTCTCCGGGAGTCTCCGCCTCTCCGTCCCCTTAACACGCACTCGTCACTTAGTTCAGGCTGACGTGCAATATCACTACTAGTCAGGGTTTAATCCCCATCACACATACACACATATACACACAAACATACACACTTGGCGGCGGGGGGAAGGTTCTCTTATTAAAAAGGTGTCACAGAATGCTCGTTTCCCTCCCCCCCATGCACGCACGCACGGACAGACCGACGAACAGACGTTTCAATCACGGAGTAATGAAGGCCCGCTCCGACCTCTACCCGCTCTGACCTCTACCCGCCTTCCTCCCTTCTAAGAATTTCCTGCATGCTGGTGTTTATGTGGCTATTCAGGTCCGCCCTCGCAATATTGGGTATCAGAACCTCACCACCGCCCAGAAGGCCAAAGTGGGGCAAATGATTGCGTTCATGCAGGTGTGTGGTGGTGTGTAGTGGTGTGTAGTAGTGTGTAGTGGTGTGTAGTAGTGTGTAGTAGTGTGTGGTAAACTGTGTGGTAAACTGTGTGGTAAACTGTGTGGTAAACTGTGTGGTAAACTGTGTGGTAAACTGTGTGGTGAACTGTGTGGTAGTGGGTGCTGTGCGTGTGCCGTACAGTTAGCTAGGGCTCCTGAAACCTCCCTCCCTCCTCGCTCCTCACCGCTCCACAGATCAGCGGTTTGTTGACCTTCACCCTCCAGCTGGACTGCCCCTGGCTGGCGGTGGTGGACCCCAGCAGGCCCGGAGCGTTCATCCGTATGTCTATCCGTCACCCCAACGGCACCGTCTGGAATCGAACCATCAGCCAGACCAGCTCAGGTAGCTCTGTATGTATGTGGGGCGGGGACTTTGTGTGTATATGTGGGGGGGAGGGAAAGATATAGCGGGTGGGTTGGTGGGTGGGGATGTGGGAATGTGTGGTATAGATCCGTATGTCTTATTAAAACTACCTAGCTGCTGTCTAGCCACTATCTAGTTCCCGTAAGGTATATAGCCCTGCACGCATCTTCTGACACGTACTTCCCGATCCCCTCCCCCCGCTCCTAACTCACCGCAGGCTCTCTTTACGTAAGCTGCATATCGTTTGCCGTACAGGCCAAGACGCTGAATCCAAACAATTCCGGTGACAATGGCTGCGATCCCATCACGTACACAGTGACGGTGTCATTTCTGACGGAGACGTACCAGGTGGGTTGGCGGGGTGGGGGGGTGGGGGGGAGTGTGTGTGTGTGGGGGGGGAGTTTGAGCTGGCTGACTGGCTGGATATGCCGTACAAGGCATTCCGTACAGGACACCGGTATTTATATAACGAGCTCAGCTAGATTGTTCAACAAAAGCAACAACAATATATTTTTCACATCACTGGACTTTGTGTGTATTCATACACTTTTTTCGTTTGTTGGTTTGTGCATTTTTTTGGGGGGGGGAGGGTCTGGCTTTGTATGTGTGTTTGTGCAAATGTATGTATGCGTGTATGTGAAATTGCTACGCAGACGGACTTCCCCGCGATGTGCAACATCAACGACCCGGATACTTACGGAACTCAGGCGAGTGACACACATACATACACACACATACACACGCAAACACACACACATGCATACATGCATACACATACACACGCAAACACGCACACACGCACGCACCCCCCCACACACACACACAACACGCACAACACACACAACACACACAACACACACAACACACACAACACACACAACACACACAACACACACAACACACACAACACACACAACACACACAACACACACAACACACACAACACACACAACACACACAACACACACAACACACACAACACACACAACACACACACACATACACACACACAACACACACACACACACACAAACGCAAACACACACATACATACACACACACACGCACACATCCGCTTTGGGGGCTTGTCAGGTATTCCGGGGTGAAATCTCGCGAGGCCGCCGAAACCTCGCCATAGCCCTTCCCGCACCTCGATACCCCCTCCACGTCTTAGACATCGTTTGGCTCTGTGTGTGTTTCACTGCCCATGTTAACGTATTGCCTTGCCTGTGCACCGGCTGCTACGCCACCGCATATTATCCAGATTCGGATCCAGATTCGGATCCAGATCCGATCCAGATTTGGATCCGCCCGAGCTCCCCAGGTCCCACCAGAGCTCCCCGCCGTCCCTCCCCGTCCCTCCCTCGAGCCGAGTTCTTCCTTTTGTTGTTTCCATGCATTTTACTTTGTTTTCATGCATATCCCCCACCCTTCTTTTCGGCGAAACCCTAACTTCCATGTTTCGTTTCCCCACCTTCCCGGTACGGCAGTTGAGCTTCTCCATGAACTACACACCCATACCGTTCAACATTCCGCCATCGCCGCCGAAGCCGCCACCAGGGAGATCGCCGCCACCCAGGCCGCAGATGCCGTATACCCCCGACTGGAAGGTCCCGTTCTTACCCCCGGAGCTGCCGTTCCCGCCGTACATGCCGTTTACACCCCCGAACCCGCCACCGGCGCCGCCGGCACCACCGCCGCGGCCCAGCCCGCCGCCGCCA